ACGTCACCGGGCAGGCGTGGAGGCTGGTGACAACCTGAACGGAAGGGCAGTAAGGCTCCACAAAGCCAACGCTGACCAGTGACAGAAAACTCACTCTCCCTTCCCTCAAATGTTCCAAAGCATGATTCTCTGAGCAGCCGGTCCAAGGTCATCCGTGCGGCCAAGCAGGTGCCCCAGCACAGTGACCTAGTGCCTTCTAGCAGCTCCGTGCGAAGCAGGGTCAGGAGCAGTACCGTGTGACCTGCTCTCCCTCCCAGCCTCCCCTTCCCTGCCCTTTTCCATCTCTTTCTGCCCTGGGGTAGGACCTCTCGGAGCCCACCAGCAATTAAACTTCACCTTGCATCTGCCATCTTGGGAAAGGCTAAGGCACTTGGTTTTCCACTCTAATGGTTAAACGAAGTCCAGCGTCATTGTCACCAGCCGCCTATGTGCAGGGCACTGACATGCTAGTGGGATCAAGGGCACGTTTGCACCAGACAGACCTCAGGTCAGATGCTGCCTCTGCTGCTACCCAGTTATGTGACTACGGACCAGTCACTTAGTTCCCCTGGATTTTATCACGTAGGGACTTGATATATATCTTGCAAGGTAGACAGAAGTTGGCCCATTTGACAGATGGAATACTGAGGCAGAAGTTGAGTAACTTTCCTAATTCACACAGTGAGCGTGTTAGGAATCACTCCCTCGTTACATCAGACGCCAGAGAGTCCCACCTTTTGCTGTCTTTCTTTGTGTGCCTCGAGGGCCCCCCTCATTCACAGATGTATGGTTTCCTGCCACATACCCCGGGTCCCATTTCTCTGCTCATATCTGGCTAACTGCCTGCTCTAACACTAGGAGACTTACACAGCAGGGAGAGAATCTGGGACTGAATTAGTGGTAAGTACCTGGAACACTGAGGGAAGAGGAGGAGGAGAAAAAGAAGAAGGGAGGGAGGGCGGGAGGAAAGAAGCCATGCTACGCCACAAAGCCCAGCTCTGAATAGGATTTACAGTCATGGTAACGTCAGCACCAGCATGCGACCTGCTGAAATTGTGCTAATAGCATATTGGGGAAACAGGGACGCAGCAATGTGTGCACCTGTTGTAGGGCAGCTGGGAACTGAGGTGCAAAGCAACCAACCCTCAGCTTTCTTAGAGAGAAGCAACAGCTAACATCTGAAACCTAAACATTTAGAAACTAGAAATATGAGCATGCCATTGAGAGTTGTGGATGTAAATACCGATGGAACAAACTAGAAGGGTTCCAAGGGACTGCCTCTGGGGAGCAGGATATTTGAGAATGGAGCAGGGGAAATATTTCTTTCATCACATGCTTTGTAAATAATTTGACCCTTTGTAATGCATGTGTGCAAATATTTGTTGAAAAATAAAACTACCTTTTAAGTCTAATAGGCGACGCAAATGATACAGACTAGGAAGTCAGGAGTCATATTTTTAAAATCTTCCTTTAAAAAAATTCCCCGCCAGGTACGGGGGTGTCCTCAGCCTTAGCGGCAATAAGGGAACATGGTGACAGGCCTGCCACCCTGCTGAGAGCCCTGGGTGCCCTTGGATGACAAAACAACATGGTTCCTACACATATGCCCCCCCACCCACCCCGTCCCCATCCCTGGTGACCACATACTCAGAAGGCTGGGATCCTCATCTGAGTTCATCATTCCTTGCAAGGCAAAGATGCTGCTGGAAGAAACAGCCCTGGATCCAGCAGGCGAGGTGCATCTGGGCTCCTTCCAGCCACACTCCCTTGACCTGTCACCCTCTTGTTTGGAAATGAATTCAGTGACAACAGAAGGACAGTCGTTATTAATTCACTTAGACCAGGGGAGGCGTCGCCTCCTCCTCCTGGCTGGATCCCAAGGCAGAGACCGTGCCCAGGGCACAAAGCCAAGATTAAACTCAAACCTCACTGCACAACTGAATTCTTTTTCTGAAAACAGCTGTCTTCCGAGCAGGTGGACGTACACCCCCCGGAGCACCTAGCTCCTGGTGACTCCGATGCTGGGGTTCTAACCGCCACGTGCGGGCAGGGCGCTGAGGAGTACCAGCCTCGCCAGTTCACCCACGTGGGGCCCCCACTGGCCAGGCTCAGCTCAGTTCAATAGACTGAGTCCCCACCGTGCACTTGACACTGGGCACGGGCTTCCCCTCGCGGTTCAGTGTCCCCACCGCCACTTCTCTAATGTGCAGGTGGAGACTCGGAGACTCTGCCTCCCCCGGGAGCAGCTACGAAGGGCCCCTCTGCGCCCCCAGCCCATGCAGCTTCCCCAGGTCCTCACTGAGCGGCTGCACATTCACAGCATCAAAGACTGAAAAGCAGGGGCCGGAGAGCAAAACGGACAGTAAGGCAGAGTTTGCCCTTAACTGCTTTGAATTATTGATCAAACACTTGGTAAGAAATACAACTTCAAAAGCTCCCAACTACATACAAAGACTCAAACCATTAACAACGTGTTGCCGAGTGGAAAGCTTTTGAGCATCTGCTTTAAGGAAAAGAATTGTAATTAGCGAGCTGCTTCCAGTCAAAAGCTGCAGCTAGAATGCAGTTTCTCTCAAGTCAGATGCATGTTCCCCCAGGGGATGATGGGTGCTAGTGATTTGCTTAGATTTAAAGACAGGCCTTCTCACCTACAGCTGCCATGGGGCTGCCTTAGTGGGCACTGAAGTTTCGCCTGCCAGTGTCCATATCCCCTTTTTCTGATAAACAAAGAGTTGATGCCCTTGGACCCCACATTTCCCCCATTCTCTGTCCTTTGTTTGGGTGGGGCTGTCTCCACCTTCTGCTCGAGGGTGGACATGTGACCCAGGCCTGGCCAAACCAACTCTTGGCTCCCTAGGCTGGATGACACAGGACCCAGCAGTTCCAGTTTAGGGACGTAATGTTGGTGACTTCACTGGCAAGATCCTCTTTCTGCTGGAATTTAACAAGGAGAGGACTACCAGTAAGCCTGGACCTGCCACATTTGCTAGGTGGAACAGCTAAAACCTAAAAAAATTAAACAAAAAAACAGAGTCTTCAAAGGGAAGGGAAACACCTTGACTGGAATTAATTATGTGAGCTTCTGGATCCAGCCACGCCTGAATCTATCCTTGGAAGCATCCATTCGGTCACCCAATAAATTGCCTTTCTTAATTAAGGCAATTAACTTTGGAGTCACTTGTGAACGAAAGTGTCCCGGCCAATACTGCTTCTTCCCTTTCTGAAGAAAGTCAGCCTTTTGACCGTGGTAAAGTGGAGTTCACAGGTCACTCTGTGCAAACTGAAACCAACACCGCATAAATAAGGACTAAATTGAATGTCTGATTAGGCGTCTTCCTAGGCAATGGATAGTCTTTGTATCATGCAGACAGTTCACCCAAGGCTGGTAAAATGTCTGCAGAGACGTCCTGTCCAGGGACACAGAGCCAGTTAATCCCTGAGTGAACAAAAATAACGTGCTCAGCTGATCACCGAGAGTGGTGTTTCATGGTGGGGGTTCAATCCCTGGTACCTCCTCTAAAAATAAATAAATAAACCTAATTACTTCTGCCCCCAATTTGTTTAAAAAATAAAATAAAATGAAATGAAATAAAAATTGGTGTTTCATGGCCAAGACACAAAGGAACATGGTGTAGGACAGCAAATGTCCCCTCCTGAGCTGTACAGTCATTTTGAAACTTGGGCTGGGCATCCTGCCTCACAGACACCTGGTGATACAAATTCAGCAGCAGATGCTAGTGGCGTACACCTGAGTCTGTTTCCAGAATCATCTTCTCTATTAAGTATCTGGAAGAAGGGCTAAATTAGGGGTTGGGGATTAGCAGATACACACTTCTATATATAAAATAGACAAACAACAAGGCCCTACTGTAGAGCACAGGGAAGTATATTCAATATCTTGTAATGAGATATAATAGACAAGAATCCATATATATATATGTATGTATGTATTTGTATAACTGAACCGCTCTGCTGTATACTTGAAACTAACGCTGTAGATCAACAACACTTCAATAAAAAAATAAATTTTTTTTAAGTCCGTCACAAAAGAATACATATTATATGATTCTATTCATATGAAATATTCAGAACAGGGAACGCTAGAGAGACAGACTAGTGGGTTCTTAGCATCTGAGGGGAGGGGCTCAGGAGATGGGCGATAAAGGGTACAAGTTTTCTTTCTGAGATGATGAAATGTCCTAAAATTGACTGTGGTGATAGCTGCACATATCCCCCAAGACACTAAAAGTCACTGAATTGCACAATTTAGATGGTTAAATTGTACAATACGTGTATTATATCTCAATAAAGCAAGTCACAGGACGAAGGAGGAGGAGAAGGAGGAGGAAACACCTGCAGCTCAATAATCAGGTACCAAAGCCAGAGGCCGTCCCCAGGACCGCCCGGTGAAGACACCATAGTCAGCATGGCAGCTGTGACGAGGCCACCACCCAGGTGAGCCAGTGGTTATCTGTCTACTGTCACCTGCCGTGATGCCCCTTGTGCTCACAGGATCCTGACAGGTGAGTTAATTGGCATATGATTGAGACCACCATCCAGCCTCCTCACTCACTATATAATTACTCCAAAAGTGAGTGGGTTTTAAAAGTTCCCTCCTTGTCCCCTCTACCATAAAGACCCTCCCTCACAGATCAGGGAACTAATTGTAGAATTCCGTCCTCTGCTGAGTGTGTCTGTCCCATCTATAGACTCAGAAATGATGCAGTCCAGGTGTCAGATGATCACTGGGGTTTGCATCACACACCATCATCAGCAATTTCATTTCTGTTGTCTTCACAACATATTTTATTCTTCTTAGCAAACCTCAACCAGCAGGGATCTAGGGAGTGATGGCCAAGGTGGCAGGCAGCGTGTAGAACAGAGAATGTCATGGTTGCTGGTGTCACCACCAACAGTGAGAACCTGCAGGGCACTCCTGTTTGATTCAGTTCAGTTCCGTCACTAGATAGGGATCAATGCATGGGACAAACAGTGCCAGGACGGTATTCAAATTGGTTTTGTAATTCCACCCATCTAAAACAGCAACCACCACCAAAATGCCACCACATCCTGTCAGCAGGGTCTATTTCAAGATTCCAGGTTTTTTTTAATCTCTGGATTAAACTTACACTCACATTGCATATTACTGATAACGGAAGAAAAGTATTTTATTTCTTCTGGGGATGCTTGTGTCTGAGAAGAGGAAATTCCTAGTTCAACTGCAGTAACTTTCCTTAAGGGCCTTGTTGGCCAGTAAAGGATTTCAAGCAACACTTAAGGTAAGCTTGAACTTTATATTCAAACATACAGACTTCTACCTCCTCTACACCACGATGTCTGTGGAATTTGGGACTTTAAGCAAAGTGCCACGGACAGCACCCGCTGGGCGAGCCCCGGGAAGAGGACACTGGGCAGAACGTGGACATTCGAAGTGATGGCTAGAGGTTTACAGGAGGTGGTCCGCTCCCCTTGACAATGACAGTAGTTGAAAGAATCTAACAGGCCACTCTGTCCCCAGGTGCCTTGTTTCTGGGGTAAAGAACGCAGCGCAAAATGTACTTCCTGGGTGAAATTCATGGTCTCAATCTTAAATTTCCCTCTGTGTCTAGGATCTGATTGCCCCCAACAAATCCCAACCGCACCTCTTCCCTTCACACGTCTTGTTTTAGGTTCGTGTACTACAAAGCCAAGTAATTTGTATTTACTCTTAAAAGCTAAATATGTGTTTCCGTCTTCCAGGGAAGAGACAGCACAGAGCACCTGTTCTCAGCTGATACGAGATGCAGTGATGAGCTGCGAGCTCTCAGAGCACCTCTGCTTTTCTTGTAAAATCCATTTTTGTATCTGAGAGAGAAATGGCCTCAACGGTGCCTCCTCCCAGACTACCCGCGTCCTTGGTGCGATGTGTGACAGGGCGCTGATCCACACTTCATCCACGAGGAGGGATTGACACACAAGGCCACATGGCACAGGGAGCATTCTCAGTGTGATTGAATTTTGGATCAAAACACATTCGAGGGATTTAAGATTAAGCAGTCATTCCAAATTGAAAGGGTTCCTGATGTGGAACCGGAAGTAAACGCTACCAGAATTGGACAGAGCTGTCCTTTGTGTTGTGTTTCGTAAGAATAAAACAAAGGAAAACCAAGTGTGAAGCCCCTTTTGAATATGCTTTGGACAGAGGTCGGTATCCTTGGAGATGGTGCCAACTGGGGATTCGCTCTAAGCCTGGAGTCGGAGGGAGGGAGGAGCAGGCCCTCGCGGGGCAGGGAGCGGCCACGGGGCTGCAGGTTCCGTTTCCCGTTCCCTCGTGGACCGCTGGCCACGGGGCTTATGCCAAGGGAGGAGCTACCCCTCCGGCCGCACAGGCTGTGTTAGCATCCGGGACATCGTGCTTCCGTGGGAGTCAGACAGGCTCCCCCTGCCTCTTTCCCGTCGTCACCAGAGGCGTGTCCGTCTGCATGACTCTGCCACCGGGCCACACGCTCTGGGGCTGAAACCACCGCGCGGGTCGATTCGCCTCCCACTTCCGCCCAGGTCAGAGGGAAGGCGGAACCCGCCACGGCAACAGATTGCTAAAGGCAACACCAGCAGTCTCGTAGCATCGCCCGCCTTGCAGGACACCTGCCCTTCAACATCCTCACCTGTTGTTTCAGAAGCATTTAAGAAAATAATAAAATTGCTTGTGGCATTTTTCAGGACCACTAATGCCGCTGTCTACTCCTGGACTCTGTGATGGAAAAAACGAAATACCGTATACCCCCCCCCATTTTGAGGAGCAGTGACAAGAAAATCTAATTTTATCTTTCCAGAGACATCCCCCTGCTGCCACTTTGACCTGAATTATCTACTGGAGAAAGTCTTCGGGCTGGAAAGAATGGCCGCTTGCGGCTTTGAACTCGTTCAATCCGCTTTTTATTCTATAAATGAACCTATTCAATTGAGGCTACAGGAGAGGCAAAGGGATTATTTTTAACTAACCAGGCAGTTGGCTAGTTTTCAAATACTCGTTAGACTTTCCCCACCTTTCACGGTTTATAAATATCCCAACTTCAATTGCATTGATTTTGCAAGATGACACCTAAATCTATTTCTCTATCCCTCTGTCTACCTGTGCACACACACACACCTATTTGCCAGAATTAAACTTAGTTTTGAATTAGAGGTATTAATGTTGCTTCAGAAATCACTGGTGGGATTGTAAAAATCAGGACCATTAATATTTAAACTAGTATTTAGAAGATTTCCAACAACATCATGAAACATACAATTATTTCTCCTTTTTTCTGAATCCAGAGCATTTTGACTATCTTTTCCTGTTGTTCTGAGGGAGGGCGTCTGGGACTGGGAGAGATCTTGTGCTTTCCCATGGCTGATGGTTTATGTGACGTCCAGTTCTCTGCCAGACTCTTAGAAGCGAATGGGTGCTGTACGCTGTCCTTTGTTTTTCTACCCTGCGTGTGGCACGGAGATGTTTTGGGGTCCTGGGGGCATGGAGCACAAAAATACACTGATCTGTAACAAGGGTGATGAACATTAGAATACTTTGGGCTGCAAATGGGGCAAAACAGAACCAATCTGAAGGAACAGTAAGGAAATTATTCGGCTTTAGAACTGAATGTCTGGAGGTCAGGTCGATCTTAACCATTGGCCAATTGCAACTCAATGACGTCATCAGAAATACAGGTTCTTTGCTGGGGAGGGTAGAGCTCAGGGGTAGAGCATGTGCTTTGTACGCATGAGGTCCTGGGTTCTATCCCCAGTGCCTCCACTTAAAAATAAAGAAACACAGGGTCTCACCTGTTCACAAGGGAGATGCTGCCTCGGCTGTGCACCAGCGGGACCTGCTGACCACGCCTGCAGGACGCCGATGCTGACAGCTTCTTTTCCCAAACGAGGGAGGAAATTCCTTCTCCAGAAGGTTCTAGAAAAACGCATGTCCCCTCGGCCAGAATGACATCACAGGCCTTCCTCAGCCAATCATGGGGTGAGGAGGGGACCCCGAGAGAGGGGTCTTCTTTCCCCATGGCCCTTGGACTACGAGATGGAGGGATAAAAACACTTGCACGGAAACGGAGTTCCCTTGAGGAGAGGGAACGGGAGAACCTCTGCCAGGGCCCAGCCAGCAGCCCCACTCCAGGAGCTGGGGCAGAAATAACATTGTTGCTCAAGGGGCTCTTCCAGAGCTCTGCAAACCAATGGTTAGATCACATCTCAGCCAAACGGAAGCGGCCCAGGAGGGAAACGAGTGAACAGGCTGGCGTCCTGCCAGAGGGCTGGTGGGGACTGTGGCCAGCTGGGGCGAGCAGGCCTTTCCAGGCCTGCCTGTCCGATTAAACACGGACGTCCCCTGCGGTCACTCTGACCTGCGCTATCTACTGGAGGAACAGTCCATGGACCAGAAAAAGTAGCTACATGCAGTCTGCGTTCAGGGTTCCCCTCCCCCACGCCCATGATCTGTCACCTCCCCCTCCTCATTCAAACCTGCGCTGCCCCTGAACGCCCGGCTCCCCCACACCCTGTCCTCTCTCTGCCCTCTCCCCTGGGGTGTGGTGCAGACCCACACTCCCCCTACCACGACATCCGGGGCAGGAGGGATTACCTGTGGGCAGGCCACTGCACCTGAGCACAGAAACTGCAAATCACACTTTGCTGAGTTTGTTCCCATCGCTGATGGCCCTGCCCCAGCTCATATTCAACTTCTTGAACTCAACCCCTTGAATATAGTTGAATGAGTTGGACAGGCCTTTACCTGTATTTGCCACTTACGAGATCTGTCACCTGAGCAGGGCACATCAATTCATTTCACAGATGGAAACCCCAGGCTTGAAGCTGAGTACCCGCCTCCAGGCGTTTTTGTGAAGTTATGTAAACCACCACGCCCGGCCCTCCGTGCAGGGAAGTATCACCCCACACACACACACCCCTGGGGTTTAGCATGTGGATGGACGAAGGTAAAGCAAAAGTCTGGAGCCATCCCGTTACTTTCTAAAGGGGTCTCCCCAAGACTCCAGACCCCAGCTGCTTTGTTTCTCTTAGAAAGAGAAGCTTTCCGTAAACATTCGCTGTGTGGACCCTCCTCAACCCGCCTCTCGGAATCACACTTCTACGGCTGATCCTGCAGGTCTGGGTCTGGCCTGCAAGGCTCCTCCAAGCATTGGAGCAGGCAGGTAGCCAGATGTGAGCAGAGAAAGCGGGGCACAGGCAAAATGGCAGGAAAAAACACAGCTTGTGAACAACAGGGGTCCCTGAGCAGAAAGAGGAAAAAGCAGGAACCTCAGGGCTGATGAGAAATCACACACTTGGGGGTGACAAGGGTCCTGGAGGCAGGCAGAGAAAGATGGGAAAAGGCAGGAATTTCCAGTGTCCGGATGTAACGTTTTGCTCATTATGCCTTCATGACAATAAAATCAGCCTTGCAGATTAGAAGTACCCATCATGCACTGAGACCATGATGCTCCGATCCAGACTAAATAAGGACAAAAATCCATCCTCCGCCCAGGAAGGTGGAGCTGGGATGGAGATCAGGAAATACTTATGGCCCCAAACCCTTCCCTCCCCAGTGAATATTCTGTCCACTCATTTTTACACCCCGTGTAACCAACTTGCCAAAGAAACTCAGTGCAGCTGCTCACCTGAGTCTGCCCACTCTCCCCATGAAATGGTCCTATCCATCCCTTAATAAATCTTCACTTTATTTTCTTAACCTCCGGGTCTTATCTCTGAATTCCTCCCTTGAAGCAAGAACCTAATCGCCGGCAGCACAAGCAGGTGGTTTGATTTGGGGTCATGGGTTGCTGACTTTGTTATGATCAGATTCCTCATTGAACTTTCCTCAGGGCTCCATGGTTTTACCTGGACTCAGATATTCAGAAAAGTCCTAGGTCTCTGTCACTGTCTTCCAACATTTTTATTCCTTCCCATCAAATGTCAGCATCATGCTCTAAC